CTCCAACTTGCGATGAAATAGCAACGCGCTGACTTAGCAGCCTCGCGCAGTCACATGTTGCAGGCATAAGATGAAAATTATTGATATTCATAGTTTGACAAGGGCATCTACTTCACTCACCGAGAGCTATCCATTGACATAACATGTACTGAATCATCCAACTGGTGCAACTGACCACTGTTCAGTTATACAGATTCAATGCGGCGATTGCAGCACCAATGTCTGACAGTAAACCAGCGGTGTGCACCAAAACCACTGCGCCCTAACGTCCCATTACGGAACTCTCACTCCGACACCGACCATCTGCATTCCGTCGTTTCCGAGTCGATTAGACGTGTGCTAGAAAAGACAAACAACAAGACCTTTTCATACAAACGAAAAATTAAGATCTCACTTAAAGAAGACTAGGCACAATATAACGAACGAAGAAAAGACCGATGTCATTTACTCAGTAAATTGATCTGACTTCCAGTGATCATCCATTAGTCAAACTGCCAGTTAACCACGAACTAGAACGGTAGATCATAAAAGAACAGTCATTATCATGAATCCAGCGACCGAAGAAAGGCGACGCTCAGATTTAAGCTCGGCAGCAGCCCTCCACTATAATTACGCGGGATGAGCGTCGACTTTAACTGCCCAACCACTGTAACAACGGTCGAAAGCTACAAGGAGCATTTAGTTGCCCAAGCGCTCTTAAAATAGACAAGACCCAACGTCGTGAACGGAGACACACGAGTTAATATCTCTACTTCATGCCGTAACTGGTGCAAACTCCAGACCAAGAGAAAAAGTCCATTGCAAATACATATTGGCTATCTCGTGCAACCGTACCTCTGCATGTCATAATGACTGTTTACAGTTAAGAAGGGTTAGTTACATCAGCCGAAGCCTTAGTCATGCACTAAAAACGTTTGCGCCGAGAGTAATTTCTAATAAAATAGTCATACTCACGTATAAAAATGGTTCCGTTCTGCAGTTATGTCCACCATTTCATCCAATAATTTTTCAATAATTTGTTCTCGCACTGGTTGCTGCTCGTCTGATGCGCCCAAACGTTGCTTTGTGCCGTCAACAAGCGTACGCAAAGCAAATCGCCAGCGGTTTAAGGGCTTAAAATTTGATTGCTTGTCTGAAGAAACGAGCATCGGAAATCCAACTTGGGTCACACAAGGACACCAACGGTTGTGCTCCGTTTCCGGATTTAACACCGCAGACTCTTCGCTCAACTTTCTTTCTTTGACCAAGTTCGAATTACGTGGAGTTGAGCTGTCTCCCCAATGGCGGAAGCGGTCATCAGAAGGGACCAAAAACTTACCTATCAGCAATTCTCGAAAGCAATATTGGCATTCAATGGCTAGCAACCCTGACTGCACATCAGGCTTTGTGACCCATCCAATAACTCCTAATAAGAGCAACTTCTCATGCAAAAAAGGGAAGAACTTCTGATTCAGAAAATCTATCTCGGCCTTGATCCCCATAGTTTCGGTACTTACGATGTTCATTTCGCTGATACATTCGCTCACTCGGCTAAGACTAGAAAGGCGATTTTTAATTTCTTGCAAAATCTGAGATTTATCATCGATTATCAGAGAACATTCGGATTCTGGAACAGGATGCAATCGGAAACAGCAATTTTCCTGGTGTGCATCTACCACGCCGCTCATGAATCTCTCCACGGCTTTCTGCTTTGAGTATATATCGTGCATCGGAGGTAAATGTGCAGATAAAAAGTTTCCGCAAGACGAACACCGTAGCACATCCCTCTCCACAACCTCCCAGCCATTGCGAGCACACATCCATGGCGACATGCACAATGGCTTCACGCGCCAATCAAACCAATAAGTCTTTAGACGACGAATGAAATCCGACGACTGTTCCATGTCTTCAATCGATGGCGTGGCGGAACACTTCCTTTTTCTTTGTGAAGATATCAGGTCGCCATGTGAACTGTTGATCACACCGCGTGCTTCTTTATCCATCGGCGAAACCCAGGACGTTAATCTTAAGAGCGGGTATCTGCAAAGAAGAAACAAAAACATTAATGACAATGGAAAATACTACCACAGAAATGTTCGAGTGCTAGACTCATTGTGTTACATACTAACTTTCATATGATTTTGACATGTGATTATGATACTTTCTGCTGACAGTAGATATCGTGGAAGTTAATGAACAAGACTGATTGATTCATAAAAGCTAAAATATGCTAAAAATATTAAGTTATTGAGCGAAACCCCAACGGCTTCCGATTATTCTTTAAGTCATCCTTCTCAACTATTAGGCAGTTTGTCATTCGGTCCACTGATCCGCTGGCAAATGACATTGCACGGGACTGAATATCACAGAAAGTAGCAGACGCTGGCTAAACCGAGAGAAAGATTCTAAAAAAAGAAATCATGCGCAGTCGAAACTGAAGTGGTTGCCAGACTGGTTCAACATCAGAAGCTGAAAACGTCGACGAGAGATTTGCTTGCCTATGCGATCTGAACTACTATAGTACGCAACGTTATGAAACAGAACATGATTTCAATGCTGTCTCAAGTACATAGTTATAGTTCTAATCGACTCCGTGTCCAGAGAACAGCGTATCACTGAGTGACAAGCGGCACAGTGATACGCAATGAAATGTATGCAACACTGCAGTGGCGGCAACAGCTCAAATGTATTACGGAAAAGTCTAGACTACAGACGAGGGCTGCAGATATGTCAACGATGAATGTCGCTCTAGCAAGTGTCAAAAAATGGACAATAAGAACAATTACAAGCATTTTCAGAATGTAAGGAACTACATTTATGATCATGATGCACAGTTTCCAACAATACAATCGGAAAAATACATTTTAAAATGAGGTTTTCAAATCTTTAACGGTCTTTCAGCCATTAAACAAGTGTTCAGAATAACGACTTAAATACTTTAGAGATCAGCGCTTAGATTGTACTTATAGGAAAGGCCGAAAAAAGTGGAAATTTCATTGTTTGATCTCGGCTATGTATCGAGGCAAGGCGTAGTGCCACTGAGCAGTTACAAGTAGTGCAATACTCCACAAATACGTAGTCAGTCTGCGAAATATGAGTGGAATCTAACGATAAACAGTCGCAGACAATGCGGCAGTTGCAAAAGGTGCGATGGTTAGTGGGCAAAACAAATACCGCACGGCTAATGAAGGATGACAGCACAGTGACGTGAGGTGCATGCCACCATTTAATAAGCATGCTGCCAAATTTCAGAATTACTGAATGCTGCTGATGGTCCGAAGTTCAGTCGAAAATAACTCTGAACATGTCCCTGAATTTCCATACGTTCCATCGCTAATTCGTATCATTCACCGTGCCTCAAATTTTGGAGGCTGCACATGGCAGCTCAGGAAACAGTTCGAGCTGAAGCCTTGCGAGCAGTCGCAAAACTCTGAACAAGAAGATAATCTGGTTTCTTCCTTCGCTATGTGACCGGCGTACAACATGGCCATAACAGCCTTGTTCATAGTCTGGACAATAGCTTTATTTTCGCATTTATTTGTCATGCAACTTTGGCAATCATCTATTTTTTCGGTCATTTCTGCCGTAAAACAGCACGATTTGTTGATCTTGTTCAAGTAGCAAACTTGCAAACATTTAAATGAATCTTTTTGTAAGTGCTTGAAACAGTCATAGGAGTGTCCTCAATACGAAAATTCCAGGGAAGATGGGAGCTGAATATGAATTATAGTTTATAAAACTTTATAGAATTTACAAGCATATACTGCATTTACTGCTCAAACAGTTTAGTACAGATCCACTGAGTAAGTGACCAAGAATGACAAGAACCACCAGGACCTTGCATTTCAAGGGAAAAACAATCGGTGGAGCAAAAGCTCACTCTGAAGATAAACAGCAGTTCGAAATTATCCCCCAACTCATCAGAGCAAACGATGGTTCCATTGCTTGCCCACTAATTCAATTCATTGTCTCTAGCCTTAAATGTATTTTAAGCCTCACTAACAATGTACATGTATGCGACTTCACTGAGTTAGAAAATGAATGCGCTGAAAGACAGGACCAAATGACATCACCATTTTGACAACGATATTCTCTTAACCAAAGACTGAGAATTACATGACACTGACAAATGAAGGAGCATCTTCTTATAATGTCTGCAACTAAGCCATGAATCCAATACCAACGGTTCGAAATTCAAAACGGAGTAGCTATCTCGTCTAACCTCTGCGACAGAGTTTGCCACCAGGAGTCCAAAAATCGTTGTTAAACTTAATCCGGATTCAAGAATGGTCCCGTGATCCCTGAATCTCTACTAATGTGTTCAAACAATGAATTAACACCTATCCAAGTTTAATAGTAAACATAAATCACTGCAAACCGGTGTTTAGGTCTCCTAAAAACAGTCTTTTATTTGAAAGATACATCCTTCACTGTTAATAGATTTATTCGAGACTTTCACTGGAACTAACCGCTAGACGAAGACATGCTGGAGAACAGTTCATGGAAAACGCTATACACATGTTTTTGCGACAACAATAAAATATGACCGTCTGTCATAGAATAGACAAAAAGGTATAAGATAACCAAATATAAATCAAAAAATTTCTATCAGGTCAAACAAAACCGATTGGGAGAACTTTTAGTGCCGAAGACTTACATAGATTTAAATGATGATAACAGCAGAAACAACACAGCATAGGTAAAAATTCGGCCTTTTACGCCGCACTGTGTTATTAAACGATAACGACCTCCCAAACCGGATTTTACGTCCTTGCCCCAACCCTGGCTTCTTGTTGCAGGGGCACATTTTATCAGGTCATTGCAAGTTGGTATTTGAGCAACTACAGTTTTAGAAGCACTTTGCAGCACGAACGATGTGTCGAGAGCGGGTATTTCTTATATTCCGCGGCATAGCAATGTAAGGTTAGAGGAAATTTTTCGTAGGGCGGCAAACAGAGAAGAAATACAAGTTCAGTCTGTTACGAAACATAATGTAGAAAAGCAACCTTAACAAGATAATAAACGTTCAAGTGCTCTACAGACAAAACAAAAAAAACAGAAACAGCACACAATACGACGTTTTCGCTGTACAGCAACCAGCAACAGTCAGTTCCGAAAACTATCTCTCGTTTGTTTACTAGTAGAGCAAGACCAAGCACTAACTTAAAAGCTTACCATACTACAAAGTACAATATTTCCACAAAGCCAATGACAATCTTCCTTGAGCAGAAACACAAAATCTTAGACGGAATATTGTGGTTGTAACATCATTGAAAACGTCGTTTACAATTATGACTGACTTCGCTCAACATCGACAATGACTAACACGATTATGGCACGTATGATACAAATCAAAACAACTCTTATACTTCTGTTATCGCTATAAGCTACTACACTACGCTGAGTTTAACAAATGTTTATTTCTGTTGTATTTACTCAAAAACGCTACAAGAACGCAGCTAAGGTTTTCGCTTACAACACTAACAGACACAATCGAAATTTTCTAGTTAAATACTACAGATCGGTTCTTTGAACAAAAATCAACTAAAACAATTAAAAACTATTTATGAATTAACCGAAATCCGCACGCATGCGCGAAACAATTCTTAATAAATACCGTACCTGCTTGTTTCTTCACAGGTTCTGTAGCAATCTTTCCTCCGTTTGAATCGCCAAGTACCTTCATTTTTACTACATCCTCTGTAATAAACTCGTATCCAATCGAATTTAAGAAAACTCAACCTACATGATGCGCTGTAACTTCACCGATAAAATAAAGTTAATGCTGCGGTTCGGTGCCGTCAACGGGTCAGTGCTGCAGAGGCCATTTTCGAAATGCGCTTGGCGTAAAGTCGACTTACTGCACGAAGTAGAAGGAAGCAGGCTGCTTCGCACAATGGAGTGGATTACCTAGATGTAATATATTCTCATCGTAATATGCTGCAGTTTGTAATATGCACATGTCAATGCTTCATTCATTCGTGATTCGTTCCATTCAGTCCGTTGGCTATCACTGTTTTTATCGTGTTATGGTCATTAATATGGCATGATGTGTCCGTCTTCTTACCTACAAAATGAAGGCGCTGAGATGCGCCAGTGAACATCACCGACTTGCGCTGGATGTTGCAGAGTGAACGGAGCTGATAGATTTCTGCATAGAGTGGACGACGGATCTTTCGCAGGATGGATTGAATTAAACTAGCTTTAGTAATTCTGTACCGTGCCATGATCATGATCTGTGAATTCATCCGATGGGCAGTTGTTCATGCGTCCGTTATAATTGCAATAATTTTTTGCTTCGGTTTTGATATGCATTTAATAGTAAAATCGCTTGAAATTTTGTTTCCATGAAATTTCTTACACTCAAATACTTAATTTTAGTCGCCGGTCAAATATTAATCCATATGCGTTTGTTAGTGTGCTTTTTTGACCTTTAAATTAAACTTTTCTGAATTACTGCATGCGACGTTTAACACTATGGGCTGAGAATGCAGTATTATCAGCCAGCTGCACGGGCGAAATCAGTTCGCTGCCCAAACGTCACTCGAAGGATGCATTTAGCCATCCCAAGGAACTCATTTGTCATTATTGGCTCTGTAATGCCGACACATTCTGTTGAAATGATGAATTTCGAGATTCACGACGGATGACTGACACTGATTCCACGGTTATTATATTTGGCCGTTCAAAACTCTAAGACTCCTCTGCAAACTATCTGAATTAATTGAGTTCATTAAACAAGCATATATGTATATATTTCCGTCGGCAGTTCATGTGTTTCGTTATTATTCTCTCTCCCAAACGAGTATATATGTAGTTTCGGTCCAAAGCGTTAAACGTCGTGAGCACTAATTCAACAAAGTTAAATACGGCCAATGCATTTGGAGCTCGGCAAAGGAAGGCCGACAACAAGCGTATATAGCAGTTGCATCTGATCGATTGATTAATCGGCAACTGGAATTAAGTTTATGGATGTAAAAAAATTAATGGAAATAACGATTTT